AGGCGGTTTTAAAATGTTTTAAATGCTTATTAATTTCAAAATGGCGTTGCTCCTCCACCCAATTTAATTATAATTTATCGATTTTATTGTATTTATTTGTTTTTTTAACAAGCAGAAGAAAAAAAAAAAACAAAACTTTATTCGAAAAATTTAAATTAATAGAAAGTTTTTTATTTTATATATAAAATTTTTTTTTTTTTTTTTTAAATTTATGTATAACAAAAATAATTACCTTAGGAAATTTTTTTTTTTTTTTTTGAAGGATGGCTTATTTAATTATTAAATATAATAAACCTTATTTTATATATTATGTTTAATAATTAAAAATTAATTATAACGAAAAAAAAGAAGATGAAAAAAAAATTACAAAATCTTAAAAAAAAAAAAGTTATTTTAAAACTTTTACAAAAAAAAAAAAAAAAATTATGAATAAATTACTATAATGATAGAAATAAAATATAAAAAAAAAAAAAAAGGAATTTTTTTCTCATCAAAAATGGTTTCCCTTCCTCGCCCCCCACCTTCCCGTAAGTTTTCCCTTTTTCGTGATATTTTTTCTTCTAGACTTTTATGAAAGAAAAAGAAAAAAAGGGGGGGATGGAAAAAAAAGGCTTAGTTTAAATTTGTGAAAATGTAGTAAGTGTATGATAGTAAAATGTTATTAGGGTTTTTATAACAATTTATTAGTTTTTTGTTTTTCCTTTTTCTTCCCCTTTTCCCTCGCCCCCCGTTACATTTAAAAATTTAATTTTTTTTTTTTGTTCGTTTTAGAAGTAACGATTGAATATTATCGAGGTTTGCCACAAATTACTGTGCCATTGCCGAGCAGGAAAGAAAAATGTAGATTTACTTTAAGACCCGTGAGCAACACGGTGGGTGATTTTTTAAATATGCTTTGCACAGAAGATCGTGGAATCGATCACGTTTCCGTAAGCACTCCAACGGGTATAAGAATAGCAAGTTCAAATACAATCGAAGCTTTAATGGAAGAAGATTTTCGTCTTATTATAAATGACGTTTGCTATTATGTAAAAACTCCAAAGCAAGAAAAATTAAGTCCGGTGAGTACAAAAACTGTTTTTAACAAAAAAAATATGTCTTAAGTCTTTATAATTTTTAAAAGAAAATAATGATTTTTTTTTTCTTGAACGGTTACAGAATTTTAATTTTCCCTCCTCCCTCCACCTCCCCCATTTTTTGTTTCCTGTCGTTAAAAAAAAAAATTTTTTTATTTTGTGAAAGCGAAATTCGAAAATAAAAAACAAAGAAAAAAATTATTTTTAGTTTTATTATTTATTTATTTCTATTATTTATAAAAATAACTTTTTTTTTATATATAACGACTGCCACGTTTTTCATTTTTTTTGTATCCCAACGTTTGTTTTAAAGCTCTCGAATGTTCCATATGCGTGAAAAAAAAAATTATTTTATTATCGATTTTTCATTTTTAAGATTTTCACACGTGAAAAGCTAAACGTGTTATATTATTTTTCGTAAATATTATGTTATGTAATGATATTATTTCGACTAGGTTTTAATAAATTTTTTTTTTTTTTTTTTTAATTTAAATAAATAAATTTTATTAACGTAATGTCATTCATTGCTTTCATTTTAGTTTTTTTTTTAAAAATTGTTTTGTTTTTTATTTCGTGCAGGAAGAAATAGAACGATTATCTGACGTAAAAAATTTAGTACATCAATTATACGAAGCTTTAAACGTTGAAGAACATCAAATAAAAAAAGAAAGAGAATTGTGCACACGTTTAGAAGAATTAAAATTAGAATTAGAACCAATGGAAGAGGTAAAGAAGTACAAAAAAGAACCTTTTTTTGACAGTCAATAAGAAGAAAAAAGTTTTTTTTTTTTTTTTTTTATTAATTAATTATTTAATAACATTTTATTTTATCGATTTCAATATTTGTTGTACCTTTTTATTGTTGTAATTTTTTTTTGTTTTAAATAAATAAGAACGCTTCACTGAATGATTAAAATTCTATTTAGAAATTACGTAAAAATTATTTGGAATCAATTAAAATGAGAAATGACATTGGTTAAAAGTTTTTTTTTAACGTTTAAAAAGGAAAAGGAAAAGGACAATGAATGGGAAAAGGTTTTCGAAACGATTTGAATTTGTGTTCGAAATGTTCTCAATTCATTAATAATTAATTTATTAATTAATTTTTTTTTTATTCGCTCTGATAAAATTAAAACAAAAAAGAAAAAGAAGAATTATTTTCGTTATAAAGTTTTATAAACTTTTACTTTTTAGAAAAAAAACGAACTTCACAAATCGGCGGAAAGGCAAACAAATGTATTGACATGGATCGGACTTGGTCTGATGTCTGTTCAATTTGGAATTTTGGCCAGGTATCACATGAACACACATAAAATTTTCTTTTTTTTCGTAAATAGGTTCAAAACGTTTCGTTTAATATCGTTTTTTTTTTTTTAAATTATTTTAATTATTTATGTTAATAAAAATTATGATTACTTAAAATATTCATTCATTAAATTTTAGGTTGACGTGGTGGGAATATTCTTGGGACATTATGGAACCTGTTACTTATTTTGTTACTTACGGCACTGCCATGGCTGGATACGCTTATTATGTACTTACAAAGCAGGTGAGTAACAAAACGTTCAAACTGTAAATTTTTTTCTTTTTTTCCCTATTTTCCTTTTTTTTTAATTAGAAATACCGAAGGGGAAAAAAGGGAAAAAAAATTTACTTTGGGGAATTTTTAATTTTCTTTGCATGTCTCAAACTCATGAAATTCTTCTGTCGTTACGATGTCATTAATTTTTGATTTAATATTTTTTTGCTCCCGCTGTTGTTTGTTGTGTTTTTTTAAAAAATTAGTTCAGTTCGTAGTTCAGGGTTCAGAAAAAACTTTTAAAAAAAAAAAATTTATTTTTCAATAAAAATAATTCATTCCCTTGTTGTTTTTTGTTTTTAGGAATATATATTACCCGATGTTAAAGACAGACAGTACCTAATAACAATGCATAAAAAGGCTAAAAAAGTAGGTTTAGATTTGGAAAAGTATAATAAAATTAAGGAACAAATATATAAAATTGAGCACGATTTAAGAAGACTGAGAGATCCTTTGCAAGTACGTATTTCTTTCAATACTTTATTATCATTATCATTATATTTTGCTATCGAAAATTTTGATCGGAAAAAAAATAGGATTATTATTATTATTTATATAATAATATGATGAAAAAAAAAAAACTATTATTATAGATTCATTTACCACCTTCTCACATGATCGATTCATCAATAAAAAAATCATCGAATCCGTTCGCCAAAGCATTTTCTATATTTAAAAATAAAACGAAAAATGTTAATAATAATAATACTACTACTACTACTACTACTACTACTACTTCGTCGAATAGCGAAAGAAAAAGCTCATAACTAAATAAATAAGATTTATTATTATTATTATTATTATTTTACTTATCTCTTCACATTTTGTATATATGCGGGCTTTATCGTCCGAATGAATTGTTGCTCCTGCAAAATTATTCAGTATCGTTTTTTTTGTATTATTATTATTATTATTTTTTAAAAGGAAAAAAAAGATTTTTAATATTTTTTTATTTTTATTTTATACATTTATCAGTATGAAAACAGCGAAATGAATTTCTTTTGTTTACTTATGTAGAGAACTTAGAGAAAAATAATCAATCATTTTAAAACGTCCATTTACTCTTCTTCATTTTTTTTTATGGAGTAAAAAGTTTAATGCGGATCTCCCGTTTTTTATTTTTTTTAAATAATTTTTTCATACGTTTATTTTTATAATAATTCTATTTACACGAATAAATCACGTGACGTTTAAAAAAATTTCAAAGGGTGAAAAATTTATTCTACCTCCTCATTTAAAAAAAAAAAAAGGCGGGGGGGGGGAATAATAGAAATTTTTCGTGATTTTTTTCTTTTCTTTCTTTTCACCTGTTTCCCCCCGGAGAAAGTAAAAAGAAAGTTCCGTTAGTGTTTAATTTTGTGCGTGTTTCAAAAGCTTTAAAAAGTTTAAATAATGAATATATAAAAAATTAAAAATTAAAAAAAAAAAAAAAAACAAAAAAAAGAGAAAAAAAAAGAAAAGAAAAGTTTTTATTTACATTCATTCGTTTATAAAATTTACTCTTAAATCGCTTGTAAAGAATTTTAATTCGTCGTTTTATTAAATTTTTGCCTTATTATTCAAAATAAACAAAATTGTCGAAAAAATTTCTTATTATTATTATCACTACTATCACTACTACTACTACTCATGTTATTATTAGTATTACCCCGTTAAATATATTAATAAACAATTATATACAAAGTTTTATTATACGGTTTTAAAAAAAAAAAAATAATTTATTGCGTAATATTTGTTTTTATGAAAAATAAGATTTACGTAATAAAAAAAATAAATATTTAATTATCTTATAGAAATTATTATTTTTGTTTTTATATAAATAATAATAATAATAATGAAAAGTTTCCTCCTCATTGTTTTATCAAAAAAAAAAAAAAAAAATTATTTGAATGTATTTAAAATCGATATAGAGAAAAAAATGTTCAAAGGGGAAACTACACATTCACGTGCAGGGTAAAAAAAAAAAATAAATTAAATGTAAAAAAAAATAAAAACTCAATTTATTATTATTATTATTAATATTATATTATTATTACTAATTTATTTATTTATTTATAATTTTAAATTGCTTTTTTTTTTTTTTCTATTTAAATGACTTTATTATTAATTTTTTTTATTTTTAGAATAGTAAGCGTTTAGCGTTTTTTTTTTTTGTTCAGCGTGACAAATATTTATTTATTTTATGTATATTATTAATGTCGCTTATTAAAAAAAAAAATAATTCAAGTTCAAATTATGTATTTAATCATCGTGAAAATTTATTTCGAATCGTACCGAATTAATAATAAATTTTTTTTTTTTTTTTTGATTAAATGAAACGATCATAATTCGATCGGTAAAGGTTTTATTACGGAACGACAAAAAAAAATAAAAATTGAAACCGATAAATTAAAGTTCAATACAAATTCAAATTTATTATTATTATTATTATTATTATTATTATTATTATTATTATTATTATTATTATTATTATTATTATTATTGTTATTATGGTTGTAATAGTTTTGAAGGAGGAGAGACTTGATTTTTTTTTTTTTTTACACAAAGTACACTAAATTGTTATTATTATTATTTTTAGATTAAAAAAATAAATAAAATTTTGGCCTTTTATTGCACAAAACCCAAATGGAAATTATTATTATTATTATTGTTATTAAAACTGTTTGTTTAAAAAAAAATAACAAAGTGATAAAGGGTACTTAAATTGTTTATAATCAGGATCGGGTTAAATTTTAAAAGGAAAAAAGGAAAAAAAAAATTGTTCGTTTATTAATTATTAATTATTACTTATTATAATGATTTATTTATTTATTTTTGATACCTTAAATTTACACGATTTATTATTATTATTATGACTTATTATTCACTATGATTCTTCTCGCGTTTTATTGTCAGATTATTATTATTATTATTGACGTAAAAATAAAAAAAATTTTTTTCCTTTTTTTTTGTTTTTCTCATGCTGATTTATTATTATTATTATTATTTTTATTAAATATTATTTCGGGTACTTAAAACCGAATTATTTATTTTATTATATATATAAACGCATAAAGTAAATAATAATAATAATAATAATAATAATAATAATAATTGTTTTTTTTTTGTGCGTCTAGTCGATATTTTTTTAATTATTTTATTATCATTCAATGACTGAAATATGATTTTATTATTAAATAATATAAATAATTATAATATATATATATGTATTTTAAGTTTTATTAATTTAATTTTTTTATGTATTTTCCCGAATTATTATTATTATTATTATTTATGTATTTTCGTATTTTTTTTAACTGAAAAGAAAAAAAAAAGAAAAATGTAGCTGCTCATTATTTTTATGATAGATTATAACAGAATTAAATTAAGTTTTTTTCTTTTTTATTAATATTATTATTATTTTATATATTTATGATTTTGTAAAATTAATAAGTGATTGAATTATTAAAAAAAAAAAATTTATTTTATTAAAAAAACTTTATATGCCAAGATATCATTTTAAATTATAAGTTTTTTTTTTTTTTTATAAAAAAGTTTTTCAAGCATTAAAAAAAAAAAAGGAGAATATGATTAATTATTTAATCAGATTATTATTGTATTTAATAAAAAAAAAAAAAAATCAATATTGTATAATTTTCATTTTTTTTGCACTTTTAAATAATGCCAAGGTAGAAAGAAAAAAATTATTATTATTATGATTTATTCTACTTTTACTTTTTGATTATTAATTTTAAAAAAAAAAAAAATTTTTTTTGTTTGGTTTTTTGTACAAACTGTACAATTTTTTTGTTTTTATTTTTGTGAGATTGAAAATTTTATATCATTTTAAGTAGTACAAAAATAAAATAAAAATAAAAAAATTATAAATCTTTAAAAATATGTAAATTATAAATATACGAATACTTAAGATACTATCATATTGCATTTGCACCTGATACTTTAAATTTATTATGTAATTTAAAAATTATTATTATTATTATTATTATAGTATTTTTTTTGTTTTGCTACAAAATTGTATTTCTAAAATTTTATAAATATTTTAAAGTTAAAGTTATTTATATAAATATATATATATATATATATATATATATATATATATATATATATTAAATAGAAAGGCTTGCATTTAACTTAATCATGTTCAAATCTTCAAATTTTATAGTTGCCAAAAATGTTATAAAAATTTTATTTGATATTCATTATTTTTTATGAAACTCAATAAAATTATTTTTAAATTCAAATAGTTTTATTTTTATTTTATTTTTTATCCTTTATATTTTGTGATGTAAGAATAATAAATATGAATAAATAATTAATTTAAAACTAATTTTTTAAATAACATTAACGGTTTTTTACAGATTCCATTAATAATGATTGTTTAAATGGCGCCAAAACTATCGTTTCCGTTTCCTACTGACATTCGTGTCGTGTCAATTTTGAGTTGGCTAACGTCGAACGAAATTAAAAATGGTGGTAATCATGGTATCTTGACACGTTTATTCAAAATTAACTTATTGGATTAACAGAAAACGTATAAAAAATGGGAGGACAGAAATTTCAGTATGATGAAAGCGGAGGAACCTTTTTTTATTTTTTACTCTCTTTTCTTGCTTTATTGTTAATTCCCGGTACATATTATTGGTGGCCGAGAAAAGAAAAAGAAGGTAAATATAAATTAATATTTAACTACGCTTTGTGTATATATATTTTTTTTTTTTTTTTTTTTTTTTAGTATTACTAATTGTTGTTTTTCATATCAGTTTCAATTTTTATTTTGTGTTCTAATTAAATTATTTGAAAAATTCAGTACTAAATCATCTTTTCCATTATTTAAATGCGTTTTCTTTTATAAACAAACTGTTAGAGTTCAGAGTAGTTTACAATAAAAAATAAAAAAAATAAAAGGTGCATTTTATTTTTATGCACTTTAAAACTAGTGTTTGTACGTATGGTGATGAAAAATATAAATTTTCAGTAAATATTTGATTGAGTAAAGGTAATAAAAGTAACGATTAACGGTACTTTATGTTACTATACGCCTTGTCACTCCAATTAAATATGTAAATTGTTGACAAAGCATTTCTTTCTATGTTAACATTCTAACTTAATTTTGTTAATACTTTTGGATTTCTGCATTGACTTTCAAAATATGAATTGATTAAATTATTTTATAATTTAATTATTACATGATCCATTTTAATAATCATAAAATATTATTTTAATTTAGTTTAAATTATTCATTATTTCATTGTTTTTTACAGATCCAAACGAAGTGGAAAAACAGTGCAAATGTCCTCTTTGTCAACGAAAAAAAATAATTTTGTCACAAGATCAACCATGGAAAAAAACAAAAGAATATGCAGTGTAAGTTGAGTTCTTGCTGTATTTCTTTCACTCATTACTCATTATTAAATTTGGATGACTTTCGATAAATTTCTTAAAATTAATACATATAGTTAAATGTAAAATTTAATTTTGGCTGAACCAACTTTTCGAGAGACTAATTTAAAAATTTTTACTTATAGGAAATCTGTAATTATATTAGGGTGGGTAGTCCTTGTAGTATTGGCATACAGAGTTTCTCAATTTGATTATGAAATGGCCAATTTTGATCCATATGAAATTCTCGGAATTCCACTTGGAGCATCTGTCCAGCAAGTTAAAAAAGCTTATAAGCAGCTTTCATTAATTTACCATCCTGATAAAGCCACAGGAAATGAAAAAATGTTTATGAAGTTAACAAAAGGTTTTAATTTTAATGTTTAATTATTCATTTCTGCAAATTATTTAAATTCATTGCTCTTATCGTTAATTATAATTACAGCTTATCAGGCTTTAACGGATGAAGAAGCCAAGCGAAATTTTGAAAAATATGGTAATCCAGATGGACCTGGAGCCATGTCATTTGGAATAGCTCTTCCATCTTGGATTGTCGAAAAAAAGAATTCTGTTTGGGTTCTCGGTTTATATGCTTTAGTATTTATGGTTGCTTTGCCTACAGTTGTAGGGATGTGGTGGTATACTAGTATAAGATATTCTGGTGATCAAGTAAGATCATTTGCATTCAAGTTCCTAATCGATACCATGTTGTGTATTTATTTTTAATCGATTTGAAATTTGTATTTTTAGGTGTTGCTTGATACCACACAAATGTATTATTATTTATTTCATAAAACGCCTAGTATGCCCCTAAAAAGGGTTATTATGATATTAGGAGCTAGTTTAGAATTTGAAAAAAAATATAATAATGAAATAGTTGAAAGACCAACGGATGATATAGAAGTTCCACAGGTAATATATAAATTTGTTTTTAAATTCTTTTTAATATTCATTTCACATTTTCACGTAGGCTTATTAATATTTTCTTTTCTATTGCAGTTAATAAGGCAGTTTACCTATTTGGGTGAAAAAAACAAAGAAAAACCGTTATGTTATCCTTATTCTATAAAGGCGAGAGCTTTATTACATGCTCATTTATCTAGAATGTCTCTTAATCCTTTAACATTAGATAGGGATAGAATGTATATTGTTAAAAAATGTCCATATTTGATTCAGGAAATGGTGAGCTGCGTCTCTCAATTAATTTTAATGGCTTACGCCAAAAGATGTATGTATTTAATTTTTTTAATGATTCCTTTTGATTCCGGATAAAAACGTTTAACGTAACTTTTTGTTTTTTTTTATTAGTAAAAAATTTAATATTTATTGAAACCGTGGAAAACGTTATGAAACTCTGTCCAATGATAGTTCAAGGTTTATGGGAATTCAAAAGTCCGTTACTTCAATTACCTCACATAACGGAAGATCATCTTAAATTTTTTTTTTCTAAAAAGGTAAATAAAGCATTTATAATTCTTAAGATTAATCCCTTGAATACTTAAATTAATAAGTTTTTTTTCTTTGCCTGGTTTTATTTGTAGAGGTCTATAAAAACTATACAGCAATTAGCCCAATTAAAATCGGATGAAAGAAGAAACATTCTTAAAATTTTGTCTGACGAACAATATGAAGATGTTATGAAAGTTATGGGTAAAATGCCTTACATTGAATGCAAAGTGAGATGTGAAGGTAAGTATTCGAAGTAAAATAGTGAGTATTTCTTACATTCTTTACAATCAGTACTAAAATCTATAAATTGACTTTCAGTTATCGACGATGAAGCAACTACTGTATACACAGCAGGAGCTATTGTCACTGTAACGGTAAATTTAATACGGCGTGATATGAGTACTTTGTTTGGTGATGATAGTCTTAATGAAGAAACAATAGATGAGACTGAAAACAAGGAAGAAAAAGAACCGCAAAATGTTGTGAAAAAGCCTATTTGGCAAAAGCAAAACAAAAGGAGTAAAAATGTTAAAAATAAAAAACACACGAAAAAAACCTCCAAGTCTACTTCTGGTTCTGGTATGGCCTCGAAAGGCGCCGGCGAAAACGGAAGTGTTGTTAATAATAAAGTTAATACAGATAATATTAAAAAAGAAAAGGAAAAAGAAGCGGGTGATAGTGAAAGCGGTCTTAGCGATGACGGAGATCATAGTGATGATGAAGATAATGAAAATGACCAGGGTGACAAAAAGGTGATAATTTCAATCTTGTTTTGTTAAAAATTAAAAGTAAATTTCAAATCTAAGTGAGCTTTTGTATATGTTTCAGGATTCATCTTTAGAAGATGATGATGTAGAATGGGAAAGACTTCAAACCAAAATCACTAAACGTGACAAGGTGCTGGAAGGGAAAAGCAAATTATCTCATACAGTTCATTGCCCATACTTTCCACAAGTAATTTATTTATTTTACATTTTTATAAGGTTTTTCAATTAATTGACTTTACAATTTTTCAATTTCCTAATTATTTTCAGGTGAAACAAGAATATTGGTGGGTGTATGTTTCGGACAGAAAGTCTAGAACTTTATTGACGGCTCCCTACCATGTCACGGCCTTAGTTCATGAAGAAACCGTGCAATTAAAATTTACGGCCCCTAAATGGCCAGGACTTTACACATTCGCAGTTTGCCTTCGTAGTGATTCCTACTTAGGAGCAGATCAAATGCATGACATTAAGGTAAATATATTTTTATATTTCAAAACACTCGACTTATACGTGGTTGCTTGTGAAAGCATTAATTTAAAAAAAATTTCAAATGTTTAGCTCGACGTGAAAGAAGCTCCGGAAGTTCCTATCGAACATCCTCAATGGCATAATGTTTCAGATATTGAAGAAGGGAATGAAGGAGACAATTTTGATATTAGTGAATTTACAACGGACGAAGACATCGAAGATCAAGATTAATTTATTATCAATAGGAGAAGCTTCTCAAAATGATTTTTTTTTTTTTTTTTTTTTTTTATTTAACGCAGACTGAATTTTTGTTGGTTTTTTTTTTTTTTTTTCTTCTTCTAATAACTCCTACATTGTTACAATTTCATAGAAAAACGAATACCCGCCATAAGAACAAAAGTAATTTTTTAAACAATTATTCATAATTTGTTATATTTGTAAATGCATATAAAGTTAAAATTAGTTAATAATAAACAAATGCAACCGTTATATAAAATTCACATTAAATAAAACTAAATGTCTCTTTATTTATTTTTAAGTTTTTTTTTTTTTTTTTTTTTTAAATATTTATGGGGTTTAAATGAAAATATTATTTTTAATTCATTTCATAAAGGTAAAAAAAATCAATAAATGAAAAATAAATGAAATCAATTGGAATAATTTATTAATATTTGTGTAAAATTTATATTGTTCTCTTTATTATTATTATATTCTTTTTTTTTGTATTAAATTTATAATTAGAATATATATAAAAATTATAAAAAAAAAAAAAAAAACTTTTCGTCCAAAAATTGAAAATTAAATGTGTATTTTTAGCTTTAGATTATTTTTTGTATGCATTTTTAGGTTTATTCGAACAATAATAATTGTGTAGGGTAATTAAATGGTAACAGTGTTATGCACTAATAATAATAATAATAATAATAATAAAATTATTTTAGTAATTTATTTTTAAAAAAAAATATTTTTTTGTGAGTACAATGGAGAAGGCAATTCGATATAGTTTATTTTCACAAAAATTATATAATTATTATTTTTTTTTTTTTTTCCTTTTTTTTTTAGTAAATTAAATAAATTTTTTTTTTTTTTTTAAGGGATGTTATGTATGTCATTTGGCCTTATATTCTTATTAATGTTTTCTGCTTGTAAATGATGACTGTAGTTTTATTTTTATTTTTTTTTTGTAAACACTTATATTTATGTTTAAGTAAGTTAAAATGTGTTTAAATGCTTCTCCTAATAAATGTCTATAAATGTACAGCAGAAATGTCACAATAATAATATTAATACACATGCATTTTGAACAAAATTTTTTTATTTATTATTATTATTATTATTATTTTTACTTATCATTACAAAAATTGAATTCTTTAAGTGTTTTGAAAAGTCATTAAAAGTTTTTTTATAATTGTTTTAGGTTTTCTTTACCAAGTTTTTCATGATTTTATTTAAATTAGGTAAGTTTTAATTTAATTTACGTTTTTAGTTTATTTAAAACTGGATTTAAAACGAGGCACGCCGCCAATAAAATTTGCATTTACCTTTGTTTTGTTTGAGTAGACATATCAATGAGGTTGGCCATTTTGTTGTAAACGTTTAATTTATTACTTCTATTGTTTTTATATTATTATTAGTATTTACTTAATCGTTTTTAATATTGCAAAAAACGAAAATTCGTTATGTCTAATCACGAAGGGTTTTTATCAAATTTAAACAATTTAAAAAAAAAAAAAAAAAATCATTTCATTTATCATTTTCAATTCAATGCAATGTAACATAATTTCGTATAAATTTTTTTAATCAACGCTAAGGTAATTATCACAAAATTTATTTTAATTAATCTTAAACATTACCTCAAAATTTAAATAATTATTTATAACACAAAAAAATTGATCCTATTTCAATAATTTATTTTCTTTTAAATGTTTAAAAAAGGCATTATTTGCATCATAATTCATATTAAAAAATTTTATTTATTTTTATTTTTGACGTGGTTACAACCACGTCATTCAATTTGAAAAGAAATTCATTTGTTTGGATTAACGTTTATTTTTTTATTCTTCAAGAACATTTTCACGGATGAGTTTTGGATAATAAAAGGTAATAAATATAAATAATTATTTATTTAATTAATATTCGATGATATTTATATTTAATTTAAATCGGGGTGAAATTATTACGCATTTAAAAATTACTTATTATATTTTTGGAAAAATATTTACAAAAAAGTGAAAATTCCATATGAATGAGAAAGAGAGAGAAAGATTAAAATTTTCTTTTCTTTTCTGTTTTTGTTATAAATTGGACGTTTTTCAAAATTTCAAAAAAAAAAAAAAAAACAACAACAGTAATTATATATGCATACATATTAGACATAACCCCGTGTTTTTCATATAAAACATAAATTTTTTTTTGAAAAAAAATTTCGGGACATAAAGATAATTAAAAACGTCTATTGTGTATTGTGTATTTTTGTTTTCCTTCTCTCTTTCTCTCTCTCTCTCTCTCTCTCTCTCTCTCTCTCTCTTAGAAAATTGGCATTCGGGCAAAAAAATCTTTTTTTTTTCTTTTTTTCTTTTTTTTTTTTTTTTTTTACACAGTCTCGGCCGCCAATAAAACATTGCGAAATTAAAAAGTGCGATTTCCGATGGATGAATCCTAGGGCAATCGGCGGCTGTTTTAACACGTTTAAATTAAAATTTTTAGTTTCTGGGTGAGCTTAAATTTTATATTTTTACGGTAAATTTTTTTACTTTTTTTTTTTTTTTTTTTTCAAAAAAAACATTTTTATTTTATTTTATGTAAGTAAGTATTTCCATTAATTTCCTTTGTCTGAATTATATTTAATGTCCTTAAATTTTGCTATAATTTTGTTTTGGACACCGCCTTTTTGAAATATTTGTTTACATTTCCTCAGGTCAAAAATCTATAATTGACTCTTCTTATGTTACAATTTACACTATAGACCCACTATACTATCATAAAATGTTTCAATCCAAATTACTTACTGGAAAAAACAAATCATGTTAAATAAACATAATCCCTGTAATATTGTTTAAAACATTCTGCTTTTACAAAACATGTTTTTAAAAGATAAAAACCCAAAATTAAATTTTTTTTTGCCTCTTACACTTATAACAACACTTGAGAATTCATTTCAAAATGTACAGCATCCAAATCTTTTTTTATATCACTGGAATTTCTTTATATGGTTATACTATTTTATTATCATACTATATTAATAATCAATTAATAATATATATAGTTTTCAAAGGATGATTCTGATTTAACTTCCTGAAACTTAAACCATCCAATAACTATTAATGTTAAAACAATCAATTGATATTGAAAATATTGTTTCTTTTTTACTGCAGATTGTTGTTTAGGATTAATTAACGTGTGAATGCAGAATACGTCAAAAGATTATGTTTACATCTAAAGAACAAATTTTGACAGTTTCATTACAACGTCGAAATGGTAATGTACCATGGGGGATCAGCATTGTGGGTGGTTCAGATCAAGACTCTCCATTAATTGTATCAAAAGTAGGTTTTGTATTATAATATATTTGTACTTCCTTTGAAACGTTTAACTGTGGTAGAAGGTAGAAGTGTTCATACTAGCAGAAAACTGAGAAATAAATTTAAACTTTTTGTTTAGAAAAAGTACAGCTTCACTTTACCCAAAAAAAAACCTTAAATAAGGATATTATATTATTTGTTTTTACACCTTTTGTGAGTGGCAATTTTTTTTTTTAAGGTATTGGTCGGAAGTCCATGCGAAAAAAAACTTTTGGTAGGAGATGAAATTAAAAAAATAGAAGATTACGATGCGAGAGACGTAACACATCGCACGGCATTAATTCTTTTTAATAAAGCTCAAAATACAATAAAACTCGTTATAAAAAGGTATTCAACAAAAGGAATTCAAATTAATTTTAATAAATTTTTCGATTAAAAAAATAATTTTTTTTTTTTTTAGAAATTCAAATCCTCGACTGCCAATTTCAATTAATTCTTCCGCCATAACATCTCCTGTAAGTAAAAAAAATTATCGTTTGATCAACACATGTTTTTTCCAATCGGAAAATTTTAATTATATTTTTATTATAAATAAGTTTCAGAGTCCTAAATCGTACGAATCGTTTCCGATAGCATCGAATCCAGAAACTCCTCGAATTGGAAATTTTTCATTATCATTTCCACAAAAAAATGAATACGAATCCGTTTATTTTGATGCATACAAAAATTTTAATGGATCTGATGATAATGAAGCTGAAATTGTTAAAAATCAGGTAGGAATATTTTTTTCTCTAAGTTTAATTGCAACAGGAAATTAGGTTTTGTCAAAAAATAATAATGATCATATGATTATAATAAATCCAAGCTTTAAATGTCATGAATATTAAGTCAAAAAGAAACTTATTGATTATGTTATTGATTTTATAATTAAATAATTTATGACGCACTTGAGGTAAAACTTTACGAAGAGATGGGTATGGAAAAACTTAAAACCTGAAATTATTTATATTTATTTATTAATTAATACCGTAGGTCGTACCTTATTTTTTTAAAAATTATTCAGAATAAAACCTCTCAATGCAACTAATATCTACAACAAAAAGAATTTTTAATCGATGCAATTCTAAACTTGATAATTTGGTAATTAAAAAAATTATTTTATTAAATTTAAACACATAAAATATTATTAACGAGAATCGAACATGATAATAATAATAAATGTAAATCACAATTATTATTACTTATTATTACTTAAATAATGATATTATTTGCTAAATGTTTTTAATAATTACTTAAATAAAAAAAAAAAAAAATTTGGCAAATAATAAAAATATGCGATTATGATAAAAATAAAGCAAATAATAAAAAATTTTCTAGCAATGGCGGCTTTAAATGAAATTTTATTATGGCGAATCTCTGGCTTTGCGATTTGTTTTCTTTCGTAATTTTCAAATCCTAATAAAAATAGCATGAGGAATTGTTTCAAAAATAATAATAATAATAATGATTTTTCTTATTTATTTATTTGCGCAATAATATGTATATTTTAAAATGGGTTATGTTATATTTTAAAAACAAAATACAAATAACCGACTTGACTTATTCAATTATTATTATTTTTGCTAAACGTTAATTTTAAATTTAAATTTTAAAAATTATTGGTCGAAGTTAAAGTTATTAAAAAAAAAATTTAAATTAAATTTAGTCTTTTTTATGATTTTTTCATTCGTTCGTTTGTTTGTTTGTTTGTTTGTTTGTTTGTTTTATTGACTTTCTAGAAACAAAATTAGATTTCATATGAAAATAATTCTTTTTTAATTCGTTTTTTTTTTTTTAATTTAAAATTTTCCACATGTGATTTACTACGTTTTAATTCTTTTCGTAAATAATTTTTATTTTGCACCGCGAGTTGGCTCCCCAAAAAAATAAAATAAAATTTTAAAAGAAAAAAAAGTTTATTTTTTCGGTTTCCCGAAAAAAAAAAAAAAATTTTTGTGTCGACACATTCAGTTGAAAATTATATTCATTGAATTCGCGCGAGTGTTATTGTGCGCGCTTTTGGTGAGAAATATTTATTTATTTATTTATTTAAATAAATAAATAAATTATTTAATCGGATACATTACCAACTGTGAAATTATTTATTTATTATTATTAATTTTATTTCAATTGCGGCAATTGTTTTTTTTTTATTATATAAATTTACTAGGAGGAATAATTTTTTCTTTTTAAATTTTGTAATTTTTATTAATTATTATTATTATTTTAAGTATAAATTCGTATAAATATATATTTTTTTAATAATTTTAACGTCGATTATTAAATATTTTTTTAAATAAAAATAAATTGACAGTGGCAAAAATCCAAAAAAAAAAAAAAAAAAAAAATGAATCATTCAAATTTTTTAATCATTTTTTTTATATATTTTATAAAAAAAAAAGAAAAAGTTTTGATTGACATTTGCTCTCGTTAATAATATTAAAATAAATTTTTCATTTTATTTTTTGCTGACAGTTAGTTTTGATTGTTTATATATATATAAATATTTATAAAATATATATTTAGTTATACTTATATATTTATAGAATTTTGAAAACATAATTTTTTGTCTGAATTTTTTTTTATTTTTCTTTTAACCTTTTTTTTAAATTTTTTGCATTTATATAAATTCAGTTGGTATTGCTATCGTTCAAATTTTAACGAATTTAATTTTAAAAAATTCGTAAATAATTAAAAAAAAATTATTTTTATTTTTTTTATTTATTTATTTAAGAGACAAAAATGAAAGTTTTCGGAGAAAGAAGATTTATTGAAGATGAATGTGCTCAAGCTTGGGTAATTAATTATTATTATCATTATTATTATTATTAATTAATAATAGAAAATATTATTAAAAAATTTTTATTATTTTCTCTGATAATTATGATAACTAAAAAAAAAAAAAAAAAAAAAAAAAAAAGAAAAAGAGTTGCATTGAGTGGGTGATTTTAATACAAACTGACCAAATGGCTTTGGCCCAAATATAAATAGATATGTGTCCATGCAAAATGGGAGGGGGGGGGCTTTGCATGGATCCCTACTACGAATTGCGTCAGTTAAAAATTGCTATTATTAGAACGAACCGACTTGTATCAAATGTCACTTAAAACTTAGATTTTTTCGTAAGAAAGAAAGAAAGAAAGGAAAAAATTTTAAACGGATTTTGCAAATATATATTTTTTTTTTAAACTAAATATTAGTCGAGGATAAACTTTTAACAAAAAAATTTATTTAAAAAATAAAAAATGGCCGCGTCGAAATGTCATAAATTGCAAAATGCAGTCAGAAAAAAATGATTTTACTGTCTTGTGATTGGCAGATGAAGACAGAAAAAACTAAACTTATTAAATTTAAACATTTTATTTTTAACTCGCAGAAATTTTTATTTAAAAATAAAATTTTATTTTTTAATAATTAAGTTGATAATTTTTTTTAAATGAAAGAAGAAAGAAAATTTTTTAAATATTAATATTAATATTATTATCATTACAATAAATTTTAACATGTGTTTTAAAATAAAAAACATTTTCTTGACCTAAGTTAGTAAGAACGAATTTAAAATTTTTTTCTTTTTTTATTTTTTTTATTTAAAAATATACAAAACGTCAAAATTTATAAATAGTAAAAAAATATAAATAAATAAATAAATAAATGAAAAAAATTAATTGTTACGGTTATCAATAATTATTTTGTCTGTGAATTCGAAAAAACATAAAAAAAAATGTTTTTCTTTTTTTTTCTCATTATTACATAAGAAATTGACAAAATAAATTTTATGGGGGGCATTTCAATGTTATTATTATAACGTAAAAGTCAAAGAAAATTAAAAAAAAAAATTTAAATTTTTTTTTTTATTCATATTTTTTTGGATTTGAATCAAAAAAAAAAAAAAAAAGTAAAATAAAAAATAATAAAAAAATTATTTTTGTAACGTATTAACTTTGACCTTTTAATATTTATTATTATTATTATTATTATGTGACAAAACATATAAAATCTATTGTGATCTGTAAATGGGGGTAAATAATAGTAAACGAAAATTTTTTAATTTGATTCCAACGAACAAATTAAATTATAAAAAATTTAAATTTAAATTTTAACGTAAAGTCATTTAATTTTAATCTTTGTGCCATTTTTAATTTTTTTTTTTCTTTTTAATCTGTCAAAAAACAAACGAAATAATTTTTCTAATTTAATTTTAACTTTTCCCTCCCTCTCCCTTTCTCTCTTTCTATCTCTTTCTCTTTTTAATCTATTGTATCTTTTTCTTTCTAATTTTTTTTATTTATTATAAGGTAAAATAAAATTAAAAAAAATTAGAAAAGACGAAATATTTTAATTAATGATTCGATTAAAAGGAAAAAAAAAAAGAAATTTTTTTTATCAGGTGCTTTCATTATATATTTACATGACCTCTGAAAAATTTTGATTACGCGCCAAATTTTTTTAAATTTAAAAATTTTCTAATTTTGACAGTAAGAATTATTAGAGTCTATCAAATATCTATCTAAAATCTACGTTTTATAATTTTTTTTTTTTTTTTTATACAAACGGTCACAGAAATATTTGTTTGTTTGTTTGTTTTAGCCGTACAGAACGACACCGCTTGTACTTCCAGGTGCAAAAGCAAAACATGAAAAGGAAATGGCTCCGACCGGAAGTTATTTAAAATATCATCCGAATCCGGGAGTTAGAGCTGGTCCTTCACACTACGATTTCATGCCGCAAGAAATCGCCATGAAACAAAAAGTAAATAAATTTTATTTATTAAATAATAATTAAATTATTAAATTTTTTTTGCCGAAGAAAACAAATTAAAATTTTTTTTTTTTTTAATTTTAAGGTTGCCGATTCGATTCTTCAAAAAATAGAAAAAGATGATGCCCTAGCTGGAAAACAGGTCGATTATTATAAATGACTTTTCCACTAATTTATCAACTAAATTTATTTATTTTTTTTGTTATTAACAAATATTATTATTAATTTTAGATTATTCGTCAACAATTTAATACTCCAATCGGTTTATATTCGAACAAGAATATTGTAGATACAATCGAAAGTACGACTCGAATCAATACGTGAGTAGCCATTTTTTTTTTTTTAATTGTTTTTATTTTTGTTACATAAATAATTAAAAAAAAATTTTAATTAATTTTTTAGCGGACTTTCCAGAAGTCCATCGTTCGGAAGACAAAATCAAGGGTAAAGATAACTTTTTGAAAATTTTGAAAAAATTTCGAAAAAATGAAAGAAAATTTTTATTTTTTTTTTCTAGAATGGCACCACGAAAAGCTCCAGTTTACGATCCATTAAAGTCTGAAACTTTTAAGGCTTTACAAGAGGAAGAATATAAACATTTACCAGTTCAAGAGGTTTTGACTCCTGCCCAACCGAAAGTATTCACGCCGAAGGTAAATTAAAATAATGATAATAAAAATTTAATTTTTATTTTATAAATATTTTGAAATATTTCTTTTTTAGAAACCGGTACAATCTCACACTTACAATCCTTTGGTGAGTATCGAATTCTCCATTCAACCGAACATTTTTTTTTTTTTAAAATGAAAAGAATTTATAAACTAATTTATTTTTAGTCTCATACTTCGGCTCAACCAAATGTCCAGCACCACGTGCCTTATGTTAATTCAATGGGACACTCTGGAGAACACATTGCCCAAAGTGGAAGTTTTAAACGTCTTATGAATATGGTTTTGGATGATTCCAATTATTGATTTCATTTTTTTTCTGTTTAAAAAAAAAAAAAAGCCATAGAAAACACACAAACGGTGACTTAACGCTCGAAAAAAAAAAAAAAAAATTCTCCCCCTCCCCTCCCCGTTTTTGTTTAAAAACAAACGAAATAATACGATTGAAAGAAAAAAAAAATTATTTTAAAATATATATAAATAAAATAATAAAAGTTTTTTTTTTTTTTTTTAAATTAAATAAAAAAAAAAGTACAAAGTTTTTTTTTTTTTTTTTAAATTTTATGAAACGAATAAAATGATTATTATTTATTAATTGTTGTTTAATATATTAAGTTTTACCATTTTATTAATAATAAAATTCATTATTTATTTAAATGTAGATATAAATAATAATAATAATAATATTATGATGAGTGATATCTAGTCAAAGTGTAAAATTCAAAACATTATTAATAGCTTTTGTTTACCTCGTTTTTTTTCTTCTTTTTTTTTGTTTTTTAAAACTTTAATTTAAAATTTAATTTTTTAGGAGCAAATTAAATGTTGCTTTAATAAATAATTATTAAAATATTAAAAAAAATTCTATTTATTTTTCTATTCATAAAGTTAATTTTTTTTTTTTTTTTTTAAGAAATAATTTTAACAGATTCGAATGCATAATTTTTATTAAAGACTATAAAGCCAGCTTATTAATTTGTGTCATTTTAATAAATCAATAGATTTATTTTTTTTTTTGTATTTATTCACGTATTGCAAATATAACAAAACATTCTTAAAAAAACTTTTTACTTTTTTTTTTTTTCTTTCTCTCTCTTATAACTCGAAAATAAGTTACATAAAAAATAAGGCTTTAAATGGGATTAAATTTACAAACGCAAATTTATTTATTTATTTAAAACGGGGTAATATTAAAATAATTGGGACATATTATTCAAAAGAATTTATTATTATTTTCATAATTAAATCACATATATTTAAATATCAAAAAAAAAAAAAAAAAAACTTAAATTTTTTTCCGTTATAAATTTTTATTATAGAACAAGGGAATACAAATAACAGACAGTTGTTTGAATTTTTAATATAACGAAGTCTTATAACTGATGACGTCAATGAAACAGTGCGTTTCTTTTTCAGTTTTAAATTTTTTCATAAAGAGTCATTTTTAAATAATATTTTCACGAGTTAAATGATTTTAGTGTTATTTTTTTTTATTTAAAAACCGGATTAGTTAAAATTAAGTAGAAATTTAAAGCATTTATTTAATTATTTCCTTTTAAATTTAAGTTGTAGTTTTAAAGAAACGTTTAATCTATGACGTCATTCGTTATTTTCCTATAATTCGATGGGACTAGTTTTCATGTAAAGTTCAATTTTTTTTTTTCTTTTTTCTTTTTTAAAGTTAATAATTATGGTTAAGTAATGTGTCCTAGGATTTTCACGAGTGCAATTAGCTAGTGATGGTAAGTCGTTCAACCGATTCAATTTATTTTTAACAAATGTCAGTGTAAATAAATAAGGATTTTTAGTTATAAATTATGATTGCTTTTTCACCTCCCTTCAGTTAATCTTACAAGTTGGAAGACATAAGTGAAAGCCCACTTGTTTTGCTGATTCATATTTGTTAAAATAAACAGTTTAACGTACTATCATAGCATTTTTAAATTGTTTCATTTCTTTGATAATAAAAAAATAGCCTCAGTGCTCATTGTTATAACAATTTGCTGCCCAAAACAATATTTAAAAAAAAGTTTACTATCTTTACACTTCCTTTATTTCTCTTAAACAGTAATTCATTTTAGTATATATTTATTCATATTGCTCATTTATGTAAAGGATATTTTACAATTTACATTTAACAAATTACAGGAACCTAATGGAAGCAATTATTTTGAAGCTGATTAATAATGGGGCAAGCCTTAAGCAGGTTTTTTCAATCAGGTAGTGCATTGCTATCATCTGGCAATCACAAAATAGTATCTGAAGAAACCAAAAAAAAAATTGCCACAGTATTTGATATTCTTCGAGCAAATCCTAGAGTAACTGTACAAAGACTTGAAGGTCTCCTTTCTCAAATACCAAAGGTAAAGTAAATTTTAATTAAAATTTCAATTGTAAAAAAAAATTTTTTATAATTTTAATTAATTTTTTAGAATGAAAATATGTTAATAGTTCATAATGAAGAAGGATATAACCTTTTACAAAAATGTGTGGGTATAAATAATTTAGAAATGGTTAGATGGATTTTGTCGAGAAACCCTGATCTCAATAGAGGAGCTTGTTCTTTTCCTCTTCATATCGCTTGCCTCAAAGGGTATTTTTTATTATACAAAATTAATTATTTTCCAATCAAAGGAACTTTTTTTAACATTGCAAAATTTTAGTTTTGAAGAATGTGTGGAAGAATTATTAAGGCATGGTGCTAGAATTGATGTCGAGGCTCGAATGTGTTGGCCTGGACCTCATAATCAAAATTGCGAAGAAAGGGGAAAATATTTAGTGCCTGAAGAATGTTTAACTGATGGTCATTTTAGTAGATCCAGTGACAAACTTCAGAGTGCCATTTATTATGCAATAGATGGGGATGAAGTTAGTTTATTTTCTTTTAATATTACAAAAAATACTTTAAGGATGGGTGTCATTTTTTACATCATTGATTATGTAGGTTCAAATCTTGCAATTACTTATGAGCTTAAAAGAAGAACATTCCTCATCGTTTAGTCAAAAGAAACCAATGTTGCATATAGCATGCGAAAGAGCTGCTTGGAAATGTACCAAATTTTTGATAACTGAAAGATCAGAAGAAATTAACATGTGCTATGATGAATATTATCCGGTACATCATGCAGTTCTTCACGATACCAAATTCTTGACTTTGCTTATAGCGTAAGTTTTTCAATCATATTTTAAAAAATGAATTAAAATAAATTTTTAGCAAAACTTAATCTAAGTTTATTTTTAACAGAAATCATGCTTCTACCACTGTTGTTACGGCCACCGAGCAAATGACTTTACTTCACATTCTTTTTTTGATAGGACGGAAAAGTGCTGAAGAAACTCTTCAAACTTGCCGTTTACTTTTAGATAACGGATTGAGGGAACTAATTAATGCTCCTGACTCTTTAGGTAACACTCCTCTTCACGGTTTAATTGTTCGTTACGCTTTGGAGGAGGCTAGATATGGCTATCATCACGATAATCAACCCTGGAACAAATGGGATATGATGCATTTGGTAAAATAATTATTTACCATTAAGTAATTTTTTGCATATTGTACGAATGCAACTTACTCACTCACGGTTAATAATATCAGGTGCGTTACCTCCTACAAAACGGTGCTAAACCATCAATTAATCAACCGGGAAATAGCGCTTTAGCATATGTATTAAGACACGTAAAAGATTGGGAATTCCGATATGACTTATTAGACATGCTACTTCAGGATGGTGGAAATCCTAATATAGCAGGTCGTGATGGAAGTGTACCTCTTATGGTTTGTTTAGTTCCACTTATAAATAAAGATCCTCTCTATCATTTCACTCATTCTATGAAAGTAAGTTGAAAAATGAAATTTTATAATAGTGAATTTTCCATAGCATAAATTTTGACGCATTGATTTTGTTTTTTTACGCTTCAGGTTTGTTATTTAAATTGCGTGAGAATCTTGTGCAAACACGGAGCAAATCCAAATTGTTCAAGTCGTTCTAATTTAACCCCACTTCACGTGTTGGTTTTTACGGCTTCTGAAAACATACCATTATCTAGAGAAAAAGAAAAGGCATTGAATTTCGAATTCATAAGAAATTTATTAATATTACTTTTACAATACGGTTTAGATCCCAATGTCGGGGTAAATAATAATTTAATTTTAAACATTTACTTTAACTAACGATGACAAAATCGATAAAGGATTCTTTTTTTTTTCCCCCCCCTTGAAAGGTTTCACAGCGAACTCCTCATATACTTCAAAGCATCGTTGAAATGGTAAAAAACACTCGTATTCCATCGGATATAAATGATGTTTACGATTTAATTTTAACGTTAATTCAATATGGCGCTAATCCAAATGTAAATATCGCTAACAGTGGGCCAACAATATTTTATCATTCCCAAGTGAATCTATTCACGAAAAAATCATGTAAACACGTGTTAGGGTATTACGTTCATCTCATATCAAGAAAAGAAGAGATATTAATTGATTCACATCAACGCTTTGCAAGGATTTTAAATTTATTTTACATGTGTATGGATCACGTGGAATTATACAGTTGCTTAAAATTATTATTTGCTCAACAGAGCGGTATCGTTCCAAGTAAAGGCTCACAAATATTGTGCAATATAATAAAAGACATGTATTCGAAACCGAGAACGTTAAAACAAATATCAAGAGTATCCATTTATAATTTTTTGCATCGGAAACCCGGAGTTTACGTCAGCAAATTACCTTTACCAAACGTATTAAAAGAATATTTCATCAATTTCGAACCTTAATTTTTTTTTTTTTTTTTTTTTTTTTTAATAAAGGTAATTAATTTGTGATCAATCATTTTTTAAAATAAAGAATTTTTTTTTTTACATTTTTCCTAAAGTCGTCTGATAACTTGAATTCATTTAAATATTTTTATTATTGTTTTTTTTTTTTAAAATAGATTAGAAAAAGGAATTGTAGTAGATAGATTTTGAGTGAAGAATTCAAGATGGCACCAAAAATTTCCGTTAACTGTTTTGTTAACTGTTTTAACCTGCATAGCTATTAATTTAGATCAAAAATATCCAAAACATACACACAGGCACAGATATTTATTCATGGGAAAAATTCATCCATCAATTTTTAAAAGTAGGTTTTCTTCTGTAATTTTTTTTTTTTCAGGTACGAAAATTTAATTTTTTACATGAATTTTTTTTTTTTTTTTTGGATTTCAGGTATACATGAATACAATTTCAGTAGTTTAAATAATAATAATTACTAAAATAGTTTTTTTTTTTTTTTTTTTTTTTTTTAATAGTCAGGGAGTTAGTCAGGGCAATATTATTTAATAGTTGATAGTTTTCACAAAAAAAAAAAAATCGTTCAAAATTTTTTTTAAAAAAAAAAACGAGTCGGGAAAAATTTTCTTCATATTATTATTATTATTATTATTATTAAACGTGAGTGCCAGCAGCGTAAGAGGGGAAAAAAAGATATGATGAATAGATATTGCGCTTATTTAGGTTTGTAGTTTTTTTTTTTTTTTGTTTTTCTCTTGTATTTACTATTTTATTCTTTTCACTTTTATTTATACTGAGTATAAAAAAAAAAAAGTATATTTGTTTTTAAACGGGCAAATATGAAAACAAAAAAAAAAAAATATAAAAAAGATGTAAATACAATGTATTGTTATAAATAATTCCCGGGGAAAAAAATCGCGTTTAGAAAAACTCTTAAATAAAAAAAAATATAAACACGAATGAATGAATATAAAAAGAAAAATGATTGGAAAGTATAAAAATATAAAAAGGAAAAAAAAAAAATAAAATTTCGAACGATGTCTTGAATAAATTCTAAATATTAAACATACAATTAAATAGTTGTAAGATATAAATATATATACACACACACACACACACACACACGCAAACACATTTAAAAAAAAAATTTTTTTATTAAACTTATTTTCTTATATTGCTTTTCAGTATATATATAAATATAAATATAATATCAATCAGTGGCTTTCGAGATTTTATCGTTACAAAATGCTTTGAAATTTTATTTTATTTATTTATATATATATATATTTTGCCGCGAAAAATTTTAAATTAAAAAAAAAAGAAAATTTTCAATTCATTCAATATCAAAATCGTGCCAAAAATTTTATTGATAATTTTTAATTAATTAATTTTTTTTTTGTTGTCGTGGATTATAAAAAAAAAAAAATTATGAAAAATAAGACGTTTAATATTTTTTTTTAACATTCTAAACACATATAATTATATATATATATATGAAATAAAAGACGTTCAAGTATTTAAAAAGTATAATATCATAATATCAATTAATAAACTCATAATGAATTCATAAATGCTATATATATATATATATATATATATATATATAATATATATATTAATAATAAATATATTATAATTTATTATAATAAATACTCTATAATTATGGGAAATTTGTTTAATAAAAAACATTAAAAAATTAATTATTATCATATTATGATCGTTTAAATTATTTAATTCGTATAATTTAATAAGTATTTTTCGTTTTTAATAATTTATTTACATAAAATTTTATTTAACGTCGTTTGTTTTATTTACTTTTTTATTCAATTTATTTTTAAATAGGGTAATAATAGTAATAATAATAATAATAAATACGTTTTCCATAATTTTTTTTTTAATTAAAAAATTTTTTCGTAGTTGTTAGTCGTTGTTAATAATAATAATTATGTTGTGGAAAAAAAAAAAAAAAAAAAAACAAAACATATTCTAAATTTAATTCGAGAAAAAAAAAAAAAAAACGATAACGTGTGATAAAAATTATTTTTTTTCGTACTGGAATTAAACGACGGTTACTGCCCCTCCCCCCGCCCCACCCCCCCAAAAAAAATAATCAATCGAGAGCCAGAAAACAATCCTTAACAAAAAAATTTTTTTTAATGTTTTAAGTTTGTTTCGCGTTTGTTAATATCAAAAAAATTTATTATTATTATTATTATTATTATTATTATTATTTATTTATTTATTTACATTTGTTTATTTTTACAATAATTTTTTTAAATTTACAAAATGATTTTTTATTTATTATATAAATAAATATTATTGTTGCGCGTTACCTAGTAATTTTTAATAATAATAATAATAGTTGTTATTAAATTATTAATAAAGACAATGATGATGATTATTAGTAATTAATAAATAAATATATCTTTTATTAATAATAATATTAGTATTATTATTATTTTTTTATTTTTAAAAATTTTATGTGGGTTTGAGACTGGGAAACCGCAATTTTTTTTTTTTTATTTAAATTAAAACTTTAAATTTATATTAAAAAAAGAGAGAGAAAGAGAGAGAGAGAGAGAGAGAGAGAGAGTAAAAATATTAAAAGAAAATTAGTTAGTTAGTTAGTTAGTTAAATTATTATTATTTTTGTGTTGTTAAATAATTATTAAAAAAAAAAAAAACAAATTTTTAACTTTTGATCACATTAATTTTTATTACTTGGGGGAAAAAAATAATTTTAAGAAAATTTTATTATTATTATTATTATTTTTTAAAAAGAAAATTAATGGGTTTAATAAAATTGTCATAAATTATTAACTTTAATAAAAAAAAAAAAAAACCGAATCGGGAGGAGGGAAAACATCGGAGGGGGGGGGGGGGGGAATTTCAACCAAAAAAAAAAAAAATTGTTAATCGTTCAAAAACATTTATTTCTCGTTTGTTTTGGTTACTACTTTTTACCCCCCCCCCTCCTCCCTTCTTTTATTGTATATATTTAAAACATTTTAAAATTTACAGGTACTAAAAAAAATTTATAATTTACCATTTAAAAGAAATAATAATAATAATAATTTGAAAGACAAAAATTGAGATTTTTTAATTTAAAAAAAAAAAAGGAAGAGAAAAAGGGGAAAATATAAGTTGAACGTTTTGTAATTATAAAACAATGAATTAAAATAGATCATTTTATAATGTGGAAAAAGGTTTTTGTAGTAAGAAAAAGGATTCGTTGAGATTTTCCCGTTCAGTTTCATTTTATTTGTGCGCCGGAAAAGTTGAAAATTTTCCGAAAAAAAATTTTTTTTTTTTATTAATTTTATTTACACACACACACACGCACTCACGAAATTTAAAACAATGATAATAATAATAACTATTCGTTGATAAATTATTATTTATTTACGTAAAATATACAAAAATGTTAGTTGAAATTTTTTTTTTTTTGGAAAAAAAGTAATTTGTTAAAGACCGCGTAAAAGTTTATTTATTTATTTTTTTCTGTTGTTTAAACAATTATATTTATTTATTTATTTGTTATTAAATAACGAGTGTGTTTAATTAATTATTTATTTATTTATTTTTTTTTTCTCAAGTAATTTTTCTTCGTTTGAAATTTTCGGGAGGAAAAAAAAAAAAAATATAAAATATTCGTCATTTATTCATTCGTTCCCTTTTAAATAATAATAATAATAATAATTTCATTGAATTTTTTCAGTTTTTTTTTTTACGACGGAAGACTTCAGTTACATTATTATTAATTATTATTATTATCATCGCGTGTTATCAAATAATTATTTGGTGGTTTATTAAAAAAAAAAAAAAAAAATATGTAAATT